GGAATTGTTCTCTGATGGATTGTCCCTGCTCATAAGAATGGTGTTAAAATATTTATTGGGAAATGAATTTCAGTTTCAAATGGAAAAGGCCAGAAGAAATATGGTTTAAAACTTCATAGAAAATGACACAGTTCTTATCACTTTACTTTTAAGAAGGGGAAAAAAAAAAAATCTCATGACTGTGACCTAGGCTGTAGAACAGCTACAAGACTCTGGTGTGGAGATTTACAATTGCAATCTTCCCGCAATTTAGGATTTATATTTCAATTTCAGAATTGAATTATTAATGTTACCATGAAACTTACTCAGATGGCTTTACTTTCTTTTATTATTTCATGAAGTAAGGAAGAATTTTATCTGGGTCTCAAGAGTTAGTTGAGTAGACTTACTTCTGCAGTGCTGGCATTTACATGGAAGTGTTGGGCTGCCCGAAGAAATGGTATATACTCGCGGTGCAGGTGGATCCTGTGATAAGGCTCGTGTTGGTCCTGGTTTGTTTTCAGTGGACACGCTCTCTGGTTAGCCTGTTCTCCCAGGTGAACTTTAATACCAGATAGAAATCTTACCCCAAAATAGCATTTCTCCTCCACCCTTGCACTCCTGCCCCGGACTTTGAAAACAAATCCCAAACACACGCCTCCTGTTTCCTCCTCACAATCAGATCTTAACTTCGAATGTCTCCTAGTACTGTTGATGTTTCTGTCTTGAATTAATTTTTTGATAACTCTTTGTCCATTTATACCTGGCTGCTTTTTGCACGGTGCTTATAGCACTCCTGGCAGGACGCCTGATGGAAATCTCTTTGGGCCTTATGAAAAGGACAAAACTACTTCTCCCCAGTTACACTAGCATGCCCCTCTTCCCTCCCCCCAGCCCCCCAATAAATCAATGACTCTAGATTTTTTTTCCCCCCTTCTAGTTTCTACTGGAGCTTTCTGTGTTTACCATTTGAGTGGCCAGAAATTCAGCCTTGGGGTATGATGGACATTCTTAACTTTTCTAATTCTTTTTTTTTTTTTTTTTTTTAAATGTTTATTCATTTTGGAGAGACAGAGACAGAGCGTGAGTGAGGGAGGGGCAGAGAGAGAGGGAGACACAGAATCCAAAGCAGGCTCCAGGGTCTGAGCCGTCAGCACAGAGCCTGACACGGGGCTCCAACTCACGGACTGTGAGATCACGACCTGAGCCGAAGTCGGACGCCCAACCGACTGACCCACCCAGGCGCCCCCATTCTTAACTTTTCTAAAAGCCTTTGATCTCAAATAGGATTTCTGCCTGAAACTGTAGGGCGGTTACCTACCTGACTTTTAAGAGACAGCAAAGGCCGGTTGTCAGGCCCACTCCACCTCTGTCCTCATGGTGCAGTGGGGCTTCATCTCTACGGAGGCACCATCTGTGAGAAGAAAAGGGGAAATAGTGTTTAGAAAGAACAGGGCACAGCCCTCCGTTTGTGGGAGCAGTAAGGGCCACCAGTGATGCCTCTCCAAGGGGCTCAGTCTGTTCTCATCTCTCTAGAACTGGGCAGCCTGCTGGTCTCTCGTCTTTTCAAATGTAACCATTGTCTGAGCTGGAACGAAGCCATGATTTCCTGGGTTTTGAGTGTGAGTTTAAATTTTCTTTTTAATGTTTATTCATTTTTTTTGAGAGAAAGAGCACAAGCAGGGGAGGGGCAGAGAGAGAGGGAGACACAGAATTGGGAGCAGGCGCCAGGCTCTGAGCCCTCCGCACGGAGCCCTACGTTGGGGCTTGAACCCAGGAATCTCAAGATCGTGACCCGAGCCGAAGTCGGATGCTTAACTGACTGAGCCACGAATTTTAAAGTTGAACCGCTAAATTTTTACAGGCAAGATTTCAGAAGTGCTTGTGTGCTGTTTTTCAAATTGGAATGCAGTTTCAAATTATTTTAGACTTTTCTGTGAGATTCAGGTTTTGAACGAGAGTTTGGGAGGGACATTATTATTATTATTATTTTTTCTGTCTGTTAGCTTTAAACTTCAAGTAAAAAAAATTCCTCATGGTGAACATATGAAAGAGACTCTTAGCTGTGAAGATTCGTTTTATGATGTTGTTGAGGGAAATGCACATGCATCGTCTCTTTAACATTTTGAATAATGTTGGGAGTTGTGCTATTTTTTTTTTTTGTACTTTTTTATATTGTGGATTTCTAAATGCACAGGTGCTATGAGACAGAGAGGAAAATTTTGTGCTATCGCTCATTTACATTAGGGCTCACTTTCTGAATTTGACTTCAGTGTTGCTTTAAAGAATATTTATGTTCTGTGTAGTATTAATAACATAAGGGCTTCTGAACTGGGAAATTGTTCTCTTCATCATTAAGTCAATGTTTAGTAAACATTTCTCAAAGTGCAACATTTCTGGAGCCCATATAGTCATGTATATGCTCATTGTGAATTTCCTATTTTGCCTGCTCCGTTTTATGTGGCCTTATTACATTATGCATCATTTAACAGATGTAAACGCAGCCCCGCATCTTACTTTTATGCTGCAAAAGACTTTTATTTTATTTCTGTGTATACTTACTTCAAGAAGTTCATTGGTAACGCGTTAGCCTCTGTAACCTTGCTGTATGGCGTAGTCATCAGGGAACCAAGATTTGAAGTCAGACGTTTCAATTTGAGCTCTGGACTCCATTGGAAAGTCACTTCATGTCTCCAACTTTAGTTTCCTAATCTGTAAAATGAGGGTGGTCATAACACTGTCCCCCCTGGAGTTGTTGAGAGGTTTACATGAGACCGTGCATGTAAAGTGCTTGACCCATTATCATTGCACATGTATGAGCTAGAAGATGTGCGGTGTGGGCTAAACAATTTGGGACTAGCCGACTGGAGATCTGGGATTCAAGGCCAGAGAAAATCCACAAAGGCTGGAAAGAGAGGTTGAAACCAAGGAGACCCAGGACTTTGGTTTTAAGTACCTAAGGTGGTGTTGCTTTTCCATTGGGGTTTTCTGTTGTTCATATTGGTACAAACAAGGAAATTGGTACAGACGTTCTCCCCCTGCCCCCCGCCCTGTGCCCCCCAAAGTCACGTTTTACTTTGGCAGAATACACAGGAAAAGGTTTGTGGTCATTGGTATTCTGGACTAGAACTTGATGCATCTATCTCTATATTTTCTCCAAACAGGAAGTTAAATTACTTCTGAGGTTCATGAGTTCGGGGTGGAGTTTGGGCCTGGAACCAAGTATGTTACCGGATGTTGGCTGGGTTAGTTAAATGTTTGGATGGAATGATGTGCTTTTCCTTCTCTCTTTTGTTCGGCTTTTTCTGTTCTCGATTAATGTTGGATGTTTGTTGCCAGTGGACCCCTCTGTCCTTATAGCCTGTGTCATGAGGTGTGGCCCCGGGGGCCTTGTGTGGCATTAGGGAGTGGGGGTGGGTTGATGCTTACTGGGTGCCACAGGAGTTGCTGGGATTAGTGGATTTTTTAAATGTTTATTTATTTGCTTTGAGAGAAAGAGAGCACAAGCAGGGGAGGGGCAGGGAGAGAGAGAAAGAGAGAGGGAGAATCCCAAGCAGGCTCCACAGTCAGCAGAGAGCCTGACATGGGGCTTGATCTCATGACTGTGAGATCATGACCTGAGCCGAAATCAAGAGTCGGACGCTTAACCCACTGAGCCACTGAGGCCCTCCGGGATTAGTGGAGTTTATTTCACTAAAAATTATTTTTTAATTTTTATTTAATTTGAAAGAGAGAGAGAGACAGGTAGAGAGACAGAGAGCGAGCAGGGGAGGGGCAGAGAGAGAGAGAGAGAGAGACAGAGACAGAGGGAGACACAGAATCCGAAGCAGGCTCCAGGCTCTGAGCTGTCAGCATAAAGCCTGACACAGGGCTCGAACCCATGAGCTGTGAGATCATGACCTGAGCTGAAGTCAGACGCTTAGCCTACTGAGCCACCCAGGCGCCCCAGTGGATTTTAAATATGACACTAGAGTCATAACCAGAAGCTTAGTTTATAACCAGAAGCTTGGCATTGGGGGTAGAGGATGGCCAGATGAAAGAGGGTCCATCCTGGATTGCAGTTGTAGGCTCCTTGGAAGCTGAGGGGGATGGAAGTAAAATTGGGCTTGACTTTGTCTGCGTTCCTGTCAAGCCCAGTAAGGCTCATCTCTGCTGTCCCATTCCGTGAATGGTAGAATTTCAGTCCCTTCTTTATTTATGCATTCAGTGGTGAAATTCACTTGTTTAGTTAATATTGATTGACTGCCTACCATGACCAGACATTGTCCTAAGTATTGGGGAATACTGCAGTGAACAAAGCAGACAAAAATCTCTGCCCGCATGGAGTTTCCATTTTTAGAGGGAAGAAGTGGACAATATACACAACAAAGCAATCAGTAACATTAGAAAGTGATAAGTACTACGGAGAAACATCAGGCAAAGAAGGGAGATAGAGTGTCAGAGGGTCAGGCGGGGGTTGGAGGGTGGCTTGCAACTTAGAATAAGCTGGCCAGAGAAATCGCGTTCTTACATTTGAGCAAAACTTGGGGGAGGTGAGAGAGCGAGCTCTGGGGAGACCCAGACCAAGGAAATAATACCAAGGACACACAGAGAACCCTGGGAGTGTAGGAGAGACAAGCGAGTTGGGGAGCTTGTGGCGAGCGCCAGCAGAGGTGACTGGGAGAGCTGGAGGGCAGCCAGCTAGTGGGGTGTGGGGAGTGGGGAGCAAGGGGGAGTGCCGATGGGGGGCGTGAAGGGCCTTTAGGCTATTATAGGGACCCTGGGATTGGGGTAGCGGTGATTGAGCAGGTGCTGCTGGGGGCACTGAGCCACAGGAGTGACATGATGTGTGATAGGTTTTTAACAGGATCACTCTGTCTGCTGTGAAAGTAATGTACCTACTCTAAGCCAAAAAAAGGCTTTTTGTATGTGTGTGTGTGTGTGCGTGTGTGCGTGTGTGCCAAAGGGACGGTCACATGGAGGGTGTGCTGATAGCATCCTTAGTGTAAAACGGGAGTATATTATCAAATCGAAGCCCGAGTCCTCGAGGGAGTTTTATCCCCCAGGTGTAGCTAGGACACGAGGGTCTGTGGAAAGGGGCAGTACAGGGGCTTTCCGTCATCATCGGTGACTGCGTTTGACTTAAGCAGGGTGGACACATTGCGCACGTTGTTTTATTTCCTGGAAGTAAGTTGGGCCTCGACTGCTTTGGAGGGGGTTTGGAAAAATCCTATAGACTGATGGAGTCTTGTGGATTTCCCGACAGACAACCCCATTCTTTCCCGTGCCCTCCCCCATTCCATCCTCCCCTTCCTGCCCTTCCGTGATGATCAGGGGTGAGGGCATTGCCCTAACAGACTGTATATTTCTGAGTGGTGGTCATTAATTTTCCTCGGCTTGGCTGAAGAAACCTTCCCGTCACCTCTTTTGAATGTCGAGCACCGCCTTGGCGTGAATGAGTTTGACAACAGAACCTTGTTCTGCAGCAAGAGGTTGGCTTGGTTCCACTTCCTATTAATTTTCTTGTACAATTAAGGCACCTAGGAAAATAGTTGAAGAAAGTTTCCATTTTGTGGGCTAATAATAAATGCCACAAGGTAGGTTGCCGGTATTTTGGCTTGGGTTGTGATTTTTGTACAGAAGGCGTACGAACGATGGTTACCATGAAGGTGAATTAGAAGCACATAATGACTTGTCTTTTGAACTTTGGAAATCCGGAAGTCGATTTACACAGATAATTGTTCTGAAGTTTTCACATCTCACTTTCGTATTTGCCCAACATCCTCGCCAGTTTCGCTTCTTGGAAGGGCAAATGTTTGGAGACACGTTGTATATTCTCCAGCGCTCAAGACTTGAGTTCCCTCCCCCCTCACAGTCTGTAATTGTGCAGGTTTGTGGATGGAGCCAGTCTGCGGGGACTCAGCCCATCCTTTCAGTTTTAATTAGTTGTGAAATATTAGCAGGAAGGCAAAGTTATTTTACGTTGAAGTGACTTTTTTGGGAAGTGGCAAATTAAATTTTATGGTAACAGCTGTTCGGAGTGGAATTTGTCAGAAAGTTGATGAGAAGTGAATGCTTCCAATACTCAGATATAAATCCTCAGCTTAAAAAAGGTACAAGCTGCGAATAAATGAGGGTGTTGAAATACAGAAAAATGTTTTTGTAAATACATGTTTTAAAACCTAAGCACTGTGTTTTTTTACATTACAGCCTAAGTCTTTCAAAAACAATGATTGCTCTGATTTTGCAATGGGAGTCTTTGTTTAGTTTAGAAGCCAATAATGACATGCTAAAAAAGAAAACATAGCCTAGTAGGGAAGCTCCCTAATGGTGAGCATACTGGAGAAAGAAAGGAACAGGACCTTCGTACATGCTGTTCCTCTTCCTGGAGTACCGCCTTCCTCACCCCTACCTCCCATGGACGTAACTTTGCCTCCTTGATGACTTTCCCTCACTTGCCCGACCTCAGCTCTCAACAGGGATGTCTTCCTGACTTGGCTAGTTCTTTCTACTGTAAACTCCTACAAGCCTTATACAGTTCCTCTTAGCACTTACTTTATATTTACTTGAATAATTCTTTATTCTTCGAACTCCCTGAGATAAGACAGAGTTTCCTTATTATCTTCTGTTATTATCGTGTCATTGCTGCCTTCGTACAATGCCTGGCACACCGATAACTGTTTGTTCAGTGAAGGAGTCCATAAATGAATAGAGTTTGGGAGGCTAGAGGAAGGCTGGTCCAAAGATTTCGGCCCATGGCCTCAAGTCCAAATGCCTTTGGGGCTGGGCAGCCAAAGTAAATGAGCGGAGTAGACTTTTGAAGCAATGGGACGTGCTGGGCAAACCAGATAGAATGTCTGGGGCGGGGCCCTGCTGAGTGGATGCTGTCTTACCTCCTTCAGTGGCGACTCCTTCTTTCTACCACAGGGATGTGGGCTTGGATGGTGGCAAATTTGAAGGACTCCCCAGGCAGATGGGCTGGAGTGGGTGGACTTAAATAGTAGAGAGAACTGGGGAGGAAGGATACTGGAGGGCATGGAATGCCAGGAAGGTTTCTGAGCGGAGGCGAAAGATTGTCAGATCAGGAAGTGTTTAGGAAGGAAATTTTGACAGCGTGGGAAGCCTTCAAGTGGATCTGGAGACTTGTGGGTTCGCAGGCTAACGTAATAGTCCACACCGGAGCTAAGTGAGCCAGGGCCCTGGGAGAAGTGTGGTGGTGGAACCAATAATTTACTGTCTGGCAATATTTTTGCAAATACAGAGACAGACACGTATCAGAAGGATAGATTTCTGAAAATTCTGCTACTCTTCATCAAAGCCTTTCTGGAAACAACAGAAATGGCCACTGGAAAAGGAAATCATGAGGTAAGGTCAGGTTGCTGTGGCTTGAGGATTGAGTGGGAGGTGAGAAAGGAACACCAGTGAGGGGAGACTCCTCTTTCGAGAAGTTTTTCAAAATAGGAAGAAAAGAAACGAGAGCAGAGGCCGGGGCAGAGGAAACTACCAGAAAGATCCAAGGGCATGGATTTACTGTGCCAGTGAGGGTCCCTTCTTGGGAGATCATGAGAGCACAGCAGAGTGGGTGAAGGTGTCCAGCATCTGAGGTGGAGATGGCCAGTGGACGGAGAGGTCTTGCCCTGGGCCGAGGAGGCGGACGCCCAAAGAGGAGAGAGCGTGAGGTTGGGGTTTTGCTTTGGGGGGGAGATGTGTGTTGGACGTAGTGCTGAAAGGCACTTCCATTTCCGCTCTTGTCACAGATTTTATTAGCAGGTGCTAAAGAAATATTCTTGGAAAGATTGAGGAGAAGCATCCCTTGCTTTCTCTTCTGACTTGAAAGCTCACCAGACGCCTCAGACGCCTCCTGAAACCTTGAATAAAAGCAGCCTCAAAACTATGCCATGGAGGATGTTTTGGACCCGCGGACGTCCAGAAGCCACTGCTGTTCTGTGTGCGATCCTGCTTTGTGTAAAAGTCCCAGGCCTGTGTCCCAGAACTTTGGTACTCAGCTGCACCTGACGTGGGTCTGAAAATAATAGGTTGGTAATAAAGTAGAGTAAAATATTATGGAGCCACTGCAGACATTCAGTAATGCCCTTGGAATTGGGGAATGCCTGAAGTTTGCTAGCGCTTTGTCAGTTAAAACATTTTTTCACTTTACCAGGCCCTTGCTATTTTTCCATCACGCCAAGGTCTTTTCAGACTTTCTCGTAATAAGTCAACAAATCTATTTCAAAAAGTGTTTGTTACTAAGCAACGGTTACTAAGAGCGCCTGTAATTAAGATGAAAGTTCCAAGGTAACTCTGCCCAAACACAGCCCTGTTTTTCAGCATTTTCTGATAAAGCGAGTGTAGGGCGAATACAAGTGAAAGAGGACCGGTTCAATGACAGCGCCGTGCCCGACATTTCGGAATGCGTTGGCTGTCCCCTGGCTTATCTGGGACAGAGTGTTTGTGTTTTGCAAATCAGCCGGTAATTTTTCCCCATGTGCCTGCCATGCGTGTTCCTGGTGTGAACAGGTGACTGCCCGGTGGAGGCAGGGCCCCCGCAAGGCTGTGGCTCGGTGGCCACGTGGTACCAGGCTCATGGCCCCTGCCGTGCGCACCGGGAAGAGGGAGGAGCACGGCGAGCGCCACGTGAACTCAGCTGCCTCCGCAGCTATGACTGACCTAGATTACACAGCAAAGCAGGCGTGTTCTGCACTTTGTTTAACAGCGCACAGTGTCCTTTTCTCTTGGTGATTTGTAAAGGAAGGCTCAGATGAATTTTTTTCCTATTCATCGCGCCTGGCTCATAGCAGGCACTTCACAAATGCTGCTCTCTCCCTTCCCGCTCCATTCTGTTCCAGGGGCCAGGGGTGGAGGGTAGGGTTTCCATGACGACCTGTTGTTGAATGACCTCTTTTTAGACCTGTCGTTAGATGCCCAGTGGGCCCCAGTAGAGGTCTAGAGAGCCAAGCCTCACCTAATGGAAGGCTTTGCGGTAAAAGAGGAATCAGTCTGTCCCAGTCAACAAGCCATTGCTGAGTGACCCCCCAGCTGCCTACAGACTTCGTGACCCCCTGAGGGTCTGCTTGCTGGCTGGCAGTCACTGTGAGCAGGGTGAGTGTCGGCCACCAAAGAGCGCTGGCCAGTAAATACCTCACGTTTATGATCTTGGGTAAGTCATCACCACCCAAGTTTCCTCCTTACATCGGGGACGGTAACATCTGCCTGGCTCGTATGGTAGGGTTGTGATGAGAATTAGATGAGATAGGGTATGTAAAAGTGCTAGGTAAAGCTGTATGTGTATTCATTCATTCATTCAAAAGATATTTACTAAGTGACTCCTACGTGCCAGGCACTTCCCGTTTTATAATGTATTCCATGTCAGAAAAAAGAAATAGATCTACTTAATTTTTTAAAAAGGTTTATTTATTTTAAAAGAGAGAGAGAGAGAGAGCATGCATGGCAGAGAGAGACGGGAGGAGAGAGAGAGAATCCCAAGCAGGCTCTGTACCATCAACACAGAGCCCGATGCAGGGCTTGAACTCAAGAACCATGAGAACATGACCTGAGCTGAAATCAAGAGTCGGACACTCAACCACCTGAGCCATCCAGGGGCCCCTACTTATTCTTTTTATTGTCCCTTGAATATACCATAGTTTAGGGATATCAAGTAATTTATTTAACCACCCTCCAATTAAGTGAACAGTGTTGCCCGAACATCTTTATACATATATTTTTGGCGTATGTGAGAACATGCCTTTGGGAGGGGATTGTAAGAGATCTTGCCAGATTAAAAGCAGGCATATTTAATTCTTTGTTGGATACCACGAAATTCCCCCCAAAAATAATGACAACCTTCCCACTGAAATATATGTAATACCCATCTTCCTATACCCTTGCTAATACAATCTTTTACATTTTGCCAATCTGTTGGATGAGAAATAATATCTGAAGGTTGTGTTATTTTCACATCCTTGCTTTATTAAGGAGCGGCTTTTCGTCTTTGTTGGCCATCTTTACTTCTTCTGTGATTAGCTTTTTCAGCTACTTCTTTATCTACTGGGAGATAGATCTTCTTCGTAATTTGAAAGGTGTTTTATATATTTAAAACATATTTGATTTTACTTACTTTTCCATTGAAATGACAGGTCCACAGTTAACTGCTATCTTTCAGAGTAGGTAAGAGGCATCCGAAGCTGAAAATAGCTAGTTACATACAGGTCACGCGGCCAATTATTGATGGGACTTGATTAGGCACTAGGCTCCTCTTGGTCCAGTCTGCTTTTCTTTGAGCACAAAGCATTATTTGGGAGGCTCAGCAGGCCCAGGAAGGTGGGTTATCTTAGTGGGGCAGGTGGAAGTCTGGAAGCAGCAAGAGAGAGGGCATTCGGTAACAGAAGGGAGGCAAGACTGAACGAGAACTTCTCCAAATGTCTGTGGCCTTTTCATCTTAGTCCGCAGGTGTTCCCTAATCCTGGGAAAACTGGAAGGGGGCTGGGGGATTGAGAGCTGCTGACCGTGTCTTTGCTCCTTAGGGGGCGATCGATGGAAAGGCCAAGGAGCCTCTGCGGGGTGCCGCTTTCCCTCCTTGCAAGGGCAATACTGCTTCTGCTGCCTTTGCGTTGCGGAGACTAGAGAATGTTATTATTCTTAATAATCACAAGAGAAACAGTACAGAGATCCTTTTATTTGAGTTTTCTACAATACCTCATTTGAATAATCGTAACTTTTGTTCTGATTGAATAATTACCGTTTCCTTCTCTGTGTAAGAGTAAACTATGATATAGTTTTTCTGAAATGGCCTAATTTTAGACTTTTCCTCCCTTCTTGTCTTGATCTTGCTTGTTATGTATGTACAATGGGGCTAGGTCCTAAGATGGAAATTCTAGATTTTTTTTTTTTTTTTTTTTTTTTTTTTTAAGGCTGGAAGAAACTTTAGGGGCCATTTGGTTTAATTTACCTGTTGAGCAGGTAGAGAAGCCAAGATTTTGGGAAGCGGGGTGGTTTGATTAAAAGATTACCCAGTCTTCCAGATTAAGGATTAACACTGGGGACTCTTCAATTTTATTAGGATTTCTGGTTGTGCCATTTAACATCCTTCTGATGTTTGTCTAGTTTTTTCCTCCAGATTTCTTACCTTGAAAATGAGGGTGGTTGTACTTATTTCATTGAATTGTTGTACTAAGTATTCAATGAGGCACTTCACATGTTTGAGTTTTAACCTCCATGTCTGCATGGTTTTGAAAGCCCCTCAGCTTCCATTGTGCATATAACATGTGCTTAACCAACACTTACTGAATTAATGAAAGGGTAAGGTAATTGTTATGTATTTCTGTGCTTCAGCCACACACACACACACACACACACACACACACACATTCCTAGTCTCACAGTCACCAGTGTATAACCACTTCAAGGTTATATAGGGTGTCTCCTGGTTTCAGACATGAGAATATTTGAAATATTCAGAGTAAAAAAATTCCCCCATGACTTCAAAGAATTTAGAGAAGAGGCTACCACGACTTCCTTACATGGTCAATTTTGACTTTTGATCATTGATCCTGTTAGAAAACATCTTTGTCTGTTTTAGTTTCTGTTTCACAGGCTGCTATTGATTCCTGTTCTCTCTTCCTCTATGGTGAGCGCTCTGTTACGCCCCTTGGCCGGTAGTTTTCCCCTGGAGTGAGAGGTAAGGCGGCCTGTTGTGCAGAGCGCCCTCACGATCCCAGTAAGGCAAGCTGGAATCTGCAGGGTTATAGCACGTGGAGCGGTCCAGCCAATAGAAGGGGCTGGTGCAACCCAGAGTGAAGCCAGACTTGGTGGGTCTGTTTGGTCGTCATCTCTGTAGAGAAGGTCCAGGCACATTTGAAGTCAGGTTATCTGCATATTGGCACCGCCACCCACAGGGAATGCTTAGGAACGATGGATTATTTTACCAAGGAGAATGCTAAGAGAATTGCTGTTGCTACTGAATGAGGTCTTTTGTCCTGGCACAAAGCGTGATTCACAAGTCCTTAGTCCTGGGCTGGCTGGGGTTGAGATGTGGGTCCCAGGGGTGGGAACTGCCTTCTACCTAGGAGCATTTGGTTTTAGATCAAGAGAGAGATTTTCCAGAAGATGAGTTATGCTGAAGTGGGTGGGGCGGGCCGGGGCGGAGTATCCAGAATGTGGGCTCCTTTGGCAGGGGGTGGGGGGGGGAACCTTGGGGCAGGCGTTTGCAGTGGGCATTCTACCTTCTTGGTGTCAGTGCTGTCGTCTGACCGGACGCAATTGACTTTGGGTTCAAAGTGGAGGAAAGCTTAACATAGTTTAAGTCCTTTTTTTTTCCTCTAATTTTCAGACTTTTCTTAAGAATGTGACGTTTTCCTCTTGTCTGTTTTTACTCAGTTCTACTCTTGTCTCTCAGATTCATTTTTCCAGCTTTTCATCGTCTTTTTGTGCTGCTTTGTCAGTGGGTGATTTTTGGTGTTCAAGGGTGGCATTTTTTTAAACTGCTACTTTAATATCAGTTCTTCTTTAATGTTGATTTTGACATAATACTAGGCATCTAGCAAAGTTGCACGAGTTTTGCCAAGAATTCCTGTATACCTTTCACCAGGGTTCTCCAATGACATTGTAATACGTTTGTATTAGCCTTTTCCTCTTTTGTCTTTTTTCCTCCCTGAATTACTGAGATGAGTGTAGACACAGTGTCTCTTTGTCCCTAAATACTTAACTCTGTGTTTCCTAAAAACAAAGGAATTCTCTTACATAAATACCATCCCGTTTTCAAAATTGGGAAACTAACGTTAATACCATAGTACTATCTAATCCACTGATCTCATTCAGATTTTCCCAGTTTAAATAATAATGTCATTTTTAGTGAAAGAAAATCTCAGATCATGCACTTTATAGAACTGTCAGGCCCTTTGGTCTTTAATTTGGAAGAGTCCATCTTCCCTTTTTTCCTTTTTTTGTGATGGTGACATATTTGAGGACTTTTCTTCTTTCCTTTTTTTTTTTTGTACAATGCCTGTTATTTTATATTTGATGTCTTCTCATGATTAGATTCAGGTTATGCATTTTTGGCAGAACTAAAATTAATATTAATTT